ATTGTGGTCAGTATGCAGAGTTGGTGAGGTGCTTCATATACCTGATGACCTGCAGTCGCCATGATCTCGCATATCCTCTCAACATCCTTACTCGCTTTGTTGCAGATGTGAGACATCGACATGGGCACTGGTCATTTGCTAAGAGGGTATTGCGTTATCTGCCTAGTACATCAAGCATGGGGCTTGTGCTCGGAGGACGACAGCCAGGCGCACTCACAGGATATACTGACACGTCGTGGGCAGACGACATCGAGACCCTCAGGTCCTCTCAGGGCTACTACTCCAGGCTTGATGCAGGAGCGGTCTTGTGGAGCTCCATTTGCTCGTCGTCGGTGGCACAGTCCAGCTGTGAGGCAAAGATCTACGCTGGCTCTATGGTTCCTCAAGAGCTCCGCTGGCTCATGTTCTTGCTCACTGACTAACTGAACTACCTATCTCTGCCCCGGTCCTGTTTGCTGATATCAGGGCCATGATCCTCCTTTGTCAGGAGCCTAGACTAGAGGGCAAAGCGAAGCACATCCAGTTGCAGTACTTCCTGCTACGTGAGCTGCCGCGGCCAGGCACACGTAGTACACTTGGCCTCAAGTGCCAATACAGCTGATATCTTCACTAAGGCGCTCCCCCCCTCGTGATTATCAACGACTTTGCATACAAGTTGGCCTTCTCTCAACATGACCTCACATTTTATTATCTTGATTTCTGTACACTATGATATTTGTTCATTTACACTCACTGACTGGACTTGTGGCCGTTTGTTTCAGAGGCTGGGCTAGTAGTTCCATCGTGAGTTGTACCTCATACACTAAATTGTTATTGCTAGCTGGCCTTGTGGCCCCTTGTCTCTGAGGCTGGATTATTGAAACCAGTATGACTGTTTCTCGTTTTCTAGGCACTGCCCCTTACCTAGCCTAGGGGGTGAGCCAGCGTACACATATATATGTGTATATATATATACATATGTTTGCATGTGTACTTTGTAGGGTTGGTTGGGTTATATTATAGAGGGTATGGGATACTGGATATACCCCCTCTGTATGCTCTCATGAGTCATTCTTTTGGTTCTCAATACCGTAGTGCAAGAAATTAACTGTTTGTAAAATATAGAGGTGGGTTGAAAATACAGGGCTCATTATCTTTCATTTTCTTACCTGCTTATATAGCAGGAATGTCGATTGGTCTGGAGCCACCTGGATGAATAAGGAGGTCTTGCACATGTAGTCTGATATTTGCAGGGTTGGGCTTAAAGTGTATTATTCATGTGTTACAGCTTGGGGCATTTAGAGGAGGGCTGTTGAAGCAAGGGCATTTGCCTTTAATGCCCTGAACAATCCGGGTTACGTTCGGAGCAGCTCGACTGTTTCAAGTGTTAGATCCGCATGGCACCCGTGACTATTAAGGGCTTCGTTTGGGCCTTCCTTGGTATCTAAGTTTTGGTTTCTGTTTCAAAGGTCCCCCCTCTCCCCCCCCAATTCCTACCCCCCCCTCCCCCCCCTTCCCCTCCCCCCCCCCCCCTCGCCAATTCCTACCCCCCCCCCCCCTCCCCCCCTACATGTTTTTACGTACAATGTCTTCGCCTACGATGTAGAGGCTTCAGGTGTATAGATGTGTAATTAGCATGCTCCTTCCTGCTGCTAAGTTTTGGTTAACATCCTACCTTTGTTAAATTAGGGCTAAAGTACAATATTCTAAGAAGCCCAGATTTCAAGTTAGTTTATCGCCTGGGCCAGTGAAAACCAGGGCCAGAATTCGAGCACCTCAGAACTCTAAGGATTGGTCCCATGGACTTCGACAGCCCTTATTCAGAGCCCTTCCGAACATTTTTTCACGTACCGTAGCACTTCTTGCTAAAATTGGAGTTAGGGGAGTTGAGGTTTAGGACGTTTGGAGAATGAAAGAGAGTTGATAGAGTGGGCAAGAGCCCAAGAGGTACAAGCAAGGAGGTAGTCAGATAGGGTGCACCACCAACAGTTATCTACACTACAGTCTATGCTGCAGGCAGTTTATATATAAATAATATTTTGACACACCCCTACATTGCCTGCAACAAGAACCATGTCCAGGAAACACCCCTGAAGGGGTACACCCCCAATAGCAGTCGATCACGCTCCAGCAGCGGCAGACGGGTGCAGCGGTGGCAGGTGCAGCGGCGGCAGGTGCAGCGGCGGCAGGTGCAGCGGCGGTAGGTTCAGCGGCGGCAGGTGAGGCGGGGGCAGGTGCGGCGACGGCAGGTGGGGCGGCGGCAGGTGCGACGGCGACAGGTGCGGTGGCGGTAGGTGCAGCGGCAGCAGGTGCAGCGGCGGCAGCTGCAACAGTGGCAGGTGCAGCAGCGGCAACAAGTGCAGCAGCAACAATTGGAGCGACAGCATGTGGAGCAGCTGCAGTTGGAGTGGCGGCAGGTGCAGCGAAGGCATGAGAGGAGGAGCGCAGCAGAAAGGGAGAGACGGCTGGTAGGTCCTGACAGCTCGCAGGCAGGTCGCTCGCTTTGGCCGTCCCGTCGGTCGCGCGACTAGTCATGACGGTCCACGCGGTGGTTGCGACGGTCGCGCTCGCCCTCCGGTCGATTGAACGGCTGATCGCGACGACATTGCTGGTTGCGACGGCGGTAGGGCTGACGGCCAGCGTGGGGAGGGCAGGCTATGGGAGGATCCTAGTGGCCAGGGCTGTTTTTGTCAGAGTAATTACTCTGATTACTCTGTGATTCCATACCTTTAAACTTGTGGTGTCTGGTTTTTCAGAATTAGTGAATTTTGAACACATATCCATTCAGAGTATTGATTTTAGGGACCCTGAATCCATGTATACACTATCAGAGTAGTTCTTTTATGGTCCTTGTCCTTACAGAGTACGAGTCCTGTGGACCCTGAATGAGACATCATCGGGCAAAGGTTCCAGGAAGCTTCGTACGAGTACCCCCCCCATGTGCGCATTTATGAATTTGCATGCCCCATGTGCTGTATGCCTTTCACGCGCAGAAACCACGTAATACCGACAACACACCCCACGCTTCGTTGTACAGGTTCGCTGTACAGCGCAGCTGTTACTTTGCCAACGCAGCCCCCGAACCATCATTTTTTCTGCCACGCAACCTCGCAATGCACAACAAGTGTATCCCATTCGCGAGAGACACCTGTTGGCAATCGGCGCTGGCAGCAAAGCCGTCCTTCAATGTATTCGGCCTTGCATGATGGGCCGAATACATTGACGACCCGGGCCGTCAGTTTCGTGGCGCCGCGGGGTTTCTTGATGGGTACCCCTTCTTCTCCAACGGCATCTTGCTTCACCCTCCAATCTCTGGTCCAGCAGGTGCAGCTGGTATTTCCACTGTGTTTTTGCCATTTTATTACATCCTTTCGTTCGTTCCCTCAATCTTAGCTTCACGCCGCCATGGAAGGCCACTAGGCCGATGACGATTCTCCTCAGGGTGGCTCTGATGAGCCACCGTTATCGCTGAAACCTATGGAGCATGCCCAGCCGGAGAAAGCCGTCGATGCCCGTCGCTCTAGAACTAGCTCAGAACTAGCTCAGCTCCAGTTACACCCGATCCTCCTAGGTCCACCGTCCTAGACTCTGCAACGATGGAAAATAGTGCACCGACCGAGCTTCCCCATCCCGCCGCTTTCACCCTACCCCCGGCTGTTACTTCGCGCAGTAAATCCCCTTCACCATCCGAGCCAAGTCCCACTGCACGTACGGTGCGCGTCAGTGTAGGTCCACCGCCGGCTCCTTCCTTCCCAAAGAGAGTGCGGTCTGGGAAGTGGGCGCAGAGTATCCTGCTCATCGGTGGCCACCGTGTTCCACCGCCTGACCCCCCGGCTGCTCCACCACCTGCACCCGAGCCGACGGATGTTCCTATCCGCGAAGACACCGGGTCGCCCGATCTCTCGAAGAAGGAGCTCATCGAGCAGATGTACCTGGAGGCGAGTATTAATTACGAAAACAAATGGTTGAGCATGTTTTCGTGGCTTGTTTTGGGTAAGACGAAGGATGGAGGAATAAGAACACTCGCTATTCAAGGCCAGGCGATAACGGTGGTCGCGACCTGCAGACGCAGACATTCCGGGTGCACGAGCATACGGATGCTTACACGGCGACGGTTAAGCGGCAGATGGACATTGTGAGGGGCATCGCCACGGGGCAACAGATGATTGCAAACTTCATCAACTCCGACGTCGAGGACAGGCGCGCGATTCGACTCATGCGGTCGGTGCAGTTTCTGTGCCAGTGCGACGCGCCGATCACAATGTTTCCGAAGCTGATGCGACATCTGGCGGACCAGGACACTCCTGACATACCGCGGCAGTCTTACGGGGTGTACCTCGCTCGGTACGATCCTTTTAACGTGGTTAAATTATTAAGGTTTTGTGTTTTTTGTGTCTCTATCATTACCGTAATTAATATCTTGTGCAGGTACAGTTTCCCGCAGATGGTGCACAACATCAGCATTTACCTGACGAGGGTGCAGATGGAGCACATTCAGGCTTCGCCATTTCTCGGTCTCAGCTGCGACGAGAGTACCAACCGCACGCAAGGGAAGCACATGATTGTGTACCTCACCTTCCTGAAGGACCGTCGAATCGTCACCGAGTTCTTCACGCTGCTGACTGTTGAGAAATGTGATGCAGGGTCCCTGTTCGAGGTGCTGCTGAATCATCTACGCTCTGCAGCCATCGATGTGTCCAAGATTGTGGGTGTCAGCACAGACGGGGCGTTGGTCATGTTGGGGAAGGCTAACGGTTTGGTGGGGCGGATAAGGGAGAACGTCCCGCGTCTGTTCTCCTGTCACTGCACCGCGCACAGGTGACTTTGTGGTTTTGAACTGCATTAACTGGTTTAAGTTCTTCTCAATCCTAACACACGAACCTTAATGTGACATGCCTTCAACAGGGAAGCACTCGCTGTGAAGGACGCTGCGACGTCGAACCCAGACCTTGGACAAGGTGGTGCGCACAGTGGCGGCGGAGCTCAGGAAGTCGTGCGTCTGGAGTCAACGGTTTAAGTATATGCAGCGTGTCATCTACAACACCAACCTCGAAGTGCAGGGCATCCATACTGTGCGCTGGCTGTCAAGAGGCGATGTGGTGCGTCGGCTGTGCAAGGTCCTGGGTGTGTGCATCGTTCTGCTGTACGAGAACAACCACAAGGCGTACGAGCTCGTGACAAGTTTCAGGTTCCAGTTCTGCCTGATTTTCCTCGCCGACATCCTCGCAGACATGAACGACCTCAACCACTGTTTCCAGAAGCGCGAGGTAAGCATCTTCTGTCACCCTTATCCACTTCTCCTAAAACATTATGTATTATATTGTGGTAACTGACTAAACGTGTTCTGTTGCCGTTGCTATGACAGTTGGATGTCACCGAGATATCCAAGACCATCGACAACACGACGGCGGATCTGACACACCGGTACTTGGAGAACGAACGGCAGTTCGGTGGCAAAGGCAAGTGCTGGCTGGTTAACTTCCTGCAGCTGCATGGGCATGGCGGAGGCAAGAAGGTGCGGGTTCGCGGTGTGGACGGGGAGGGTCGCCCGGTTAACCACATGTACACCATGCACGAGAGGCAGCTCCCGGGGCATAAGTACGGCAGCACCTACGCCGACTGCGTGAAGTTGTGCCGCAGGTTCGCCCGCGATTGCGTCAACAACCTCAACGAGCGGCTGGACGACCTACAGAGGCTGGGCCCTTCAAAGCTGTTCCGTGCGGGGAAGTGGCCGAAGATCAAGGCGCAACGAGAGCGGAAGTGCCGTGAGTGGCTGCACAGATGCAGAAAGCTGTTTCGGAACAAGCTGCCGGGATTCGATCTGAAGGCAGCAGAGCGGGAGCTTCCGACATGGAGTGTCATCATGGAGACGCACCATGAGGATGAAAGTTTCGCGTAGGGGCTGACAAATCTCTTGGGGAGTGCGGACTCGAAGAGGAAAGCAGGTGTTGTTAACAGCCGGTACTTACCAAGTGTTAAAGTTCTAACGGGCTATTGTGACAATACCTGGCAGGAGATGGCCCAACCTCATCCTTCTTTGGCAGGCCATCGCGGTGCTCCCGCTGTCAACCGTGGAGGGCGAGAGGGGCTTTTCCAGGCAGAATGTCATCATATTGGGTGCGAGGCGCTCTCTGCAACGCGCGCCTGGGGGAGCTGATATAGATCTCGCTCCTGAAGTACGACATCGACTGGTCGAAGGCCCTGGAAGTCTGGAATGTTAGAGGTAGGTAGGAAACAGTGTGAGAGACTAAGGAATGGGAGGGGTACATGAAGGGTATCGAGAGAAATGTTGTAACCCTAAGGGGCAACTCACTACAGGCTAAACAAACATATGCAATATAACTTTGACACACCCCCATAGCCTGAGTGAGATGCATCAAACCGACCACAACAAGCATGTGGTCACAAGACCAGTCTAGAGAAGCAAACAAAGCAAAGCTCAGGGTGGATCTCAAGATCACCATGCAGTCCGAGCACAAGCAAGCGACCACAAGGCCAGTTCACATGCAGAGTTATAATAGCAATGGCAGTACACTGATCACAACCTAGCAAGTGTAAACATAAAGGTATAATCATATTGTCAGAAATGAGAAGGGGTTGAACTAAGAAGATTGGGAGTACAAGTATGAAACCCTAGAAGTTGTACCCCCTAAGGCTAAACCCACTACAGCCTACAGAACACAAACATATACAATGTTTGACACACCCCCATAGGCAAAGTGGGAGACAACCAGATGGTCACAAGACCAGTCAAAGCAAAGCAAGGCAAAGCACAGCTCAGGGTGGATCTCAAGGATACCACACAAATTCCGAGCACAAGCAAGCGGTCACAAGACCAGTTCACATGCAGTTTGATAATATAACAAGAGGTACAGTGATCACAACCTAGCAAGTGTAAGCATGCAGGTATATATATATGGAGATCACAATACAAGCAAAGTCAAGAAGTAAGCAAGTGAGGCACAGTAGGCACAAGGCCTAGAACAGTACAGAAACGCTGATGATCACAAGGCTGAAGCGCCTTGGTGAACACATCAGCAGTGTTGGCCCGAGTGGCCACGTAAGCAAGACGAAGCTGACCACGCTGCTGCAACTCTCGAGCAAGGAAGTAGCGCAGAGCGATGTGCTTCGTTCTGTGCTCCAGTCTGTGCTCCTGACACAAGGCAATGGCGGCCTTGTTGTCGACGTACAACACTGGAGGAGAACGAGGCCGCTCTCCCAGGTCGGTCAGCAGGTAGGTGAGCCAGCGTAACTCCTGTGCAGCCATGGCTGTGGCGTAGATCTCAGCCTCACAACTGGAGCTGAGAACTGAAGACGAGCGTGTAGAACGCCAAGAAACTGAACCAGAGCCAAGGCTGAAGGTGTAACCCTGAGACGACCGCTGCGTAGCCTGGTCGTCAACCCAAGAAGCGTCTGAGTGCCCGGTGAGGACAACGTCGCTCCGTCCTCCAAGCACAAGCCCCATGCCCGACGTACTGCACAAGTAGCGCAACACCCTCTTAGCGGCATCCATGTGCTCCTTCCGGTGACGGCCAGGAGCGACATAGCGTGCTAGGATGCTAAGAGGGTATGCAAGGTCAGGTCGAGTGCAGGTCATCAGGTACATGAGGCAGCCCACAAGCTCTGGATACGGGCCACTCGGCTCTACGGACTCATCCGAAGGCAGAGCTGAGAGCGAGTGACCGGTAGGCAGAGGAATGGACTGAAGCAAGGAGTACGTGAAGCGGAAGCGCTGAAGGACCTGCTGCACCATGTGTGACTGAGTCAAGGTGATGGTGCGATGTGCTCTGTCCCGGGTGATCCGCAAGCCAAGATAGCTTGTCAGCTCACCCAGGTCTGTGCACGTGTGTCTCTTCTGCAGCTCCGACTTCACGTGGGCGAGTGCCTCAGTGTCAGCAGTAGCAAAGACCAAGTCGTCTACGTACACGAGAACGTAGAACAGCGGCAGAGTGGTGTCGGTGCGTAGAAACAGCGACGGGTCAGCAGTAGAAGGAGCAAACCCAAGAGCAGCAAGAGTAGTCCTCAGTGTGTCGTGCCACTCACGGGGTGCCTGGTGGAGACCGTAGACTGGCCGCCGAAGGCTCCACTGGGTACCAGCAGGGAACGACCCAGTGAAGCCAGGTGGGCGGCGCAGCCAGATCTCCTCGTGCAGGCTGCCCTGTAGGAAAGCAGTGCTGAAGTCAAGAGAGTGGAGCTCGTAGTCACGCTGAGCGGCGACGTGCAGCAGCACCCGAAGAGTGGTCATCTTCGGGGTCGGGGAGAAGGTCTGGAAGAAGTCAACTCCCTCTCGCTGACTGAAGCCTCGTGCAACGTAACGCGCCTTGAAGACAGGCGGAGAACCCGGCGGCCGCTTCACCCTGAAAATCCACATGCCACTGACGATGTTCGCCCCAGGTGGGGGAACCTCGTCGACGTAGGTGCCTGTGGACTTCCAGGAAGCCATCTCTGCGTCCATGGCTGTCTGCCACTGAGAGGAGTAGGGACCCTCTATCGCCTCTGCGTAAGAGCGCGGGGTCGGGATGTCTGGTGCATCCGGGTCTCCCTCAGGGGCAATCAGCATGGACACGAGATGAGGTAAAGCAGCGGCAAAGCACTCAAACTCCTCCTGTCTATCCTCAAGGACGTCCGTGCCAAGAGCACACTCACCCCCGACGGACGGAGGACAGACAGACTCAGACTCAGCAACAAGGCTAGCGGCGTAGTCTAGACGACAGGCGGCAGCAAAGTCAACAAGCTCAGCGACTAGAGCAGACGTAGCAGAGGACTCAAAGGTAGGGTCAGTGACAACAGTGGCGAGGAAACGCGTGACAGTAGGACTGGCAGCACGAAGGGAGTCAGACTCCGGGTCCGGACCGTCAGGAAGAGAGGACGCAGGAGGAGATGGCAGAGGGACACGCTGTGGAGCAGTGGAAGGACGCAGAGTCATATAGTGAGTGCCAAGTACAGGAGGAGGACGCTGACGCGGAGCATGACGACCAGCGCGGACAGCGCGGACAGACGACTCTGGACGAGACTCAGGCGACGCAGGACGAGACTCAGGCTCACGACGCTCCGTAAGACCTCTAGTCGGCCCAGAGTAAGGAGAAGGACCAGGCAGCGGAGAGGCAAGCGGTAACTGTGACTGCGACTGGACAGGTGGTGGACTCAGTAGGGGAGGAGTAGGACCAGTAGAGGGCGGGAGGTCAAGAACCTGCTGAAGGAGCGGAACGTAGTACGGCCGCGGCCGCGCAGCACCTCCTGAACCAGCAGAGACAGCACCAGCACCCTCAGCCCCAGGGTCTCCAGCTACAACTCCCGCAGCACCACCAGCAGCTCCAGCAGCTCCAGTAACTCCAGCTCCAACCCCCGCAGCAGCTACAGTCCCAGCAGCTCCAGTACCTCCAGTACGAGCACCTCCAGAACCAGCGGCTCCAGCAGCTCCAGCACCAGCAGTACCTCCAGCAGCTCCAGCACTAGCAGCACCTCCAGCAGCTCCAGCACCAGCAGCACCTCCAGCAGCACCAGCAGCACCTCCAGCAGCTCCAGCACCAGCAGCACCTCCAGCAGCACCACCAGCAGCTCCTGCACCAGCAGCACCAGCTCCAAGGTCCGCAGCACCAGCAGCGGCTCCAGCTCCAGGGTCCTCAGCACCAGCAGCAGCTCCAACTCCAGGGTCCTCAGCACCAGCAGCAGCTCCAGCTCCAGGGTCCAAAGCACCAGCAGCGCCACTCCGGAGACTGCAGCGCCGAGCGTACCACTCTCGGAGCCGCTGGGGAGAGGGCGGGGAACCACGAGCACCAGCTCCAGCAGCACCCCTAGCCTCAGAAGCGCCCCTCCTGAGGCTGCAGTACCGCGAGTACCACTCACGCAGCTGCTGTGAAGAGGGAGCGCCTCCAGGCGCAGCACTGTCAGTCGCAGCACCCCCAGGCTCAGTACCCTCAGACGTAGCACTCTCAGGCTCAGCACCCCCAGACTCAGCACCCTCAGGCTCAGCACCCCCAAACTCCTCACGCTCAGGCTCAGCACCCCCAGGCTCCGCACCCCCAGGCTCCGCACCCCGAGGCTCCGCACCCCCAGGCTCCGCACGCGCAGGCTCAGCACCCCTAGCAGGACGAGAGTCGACAGCTACCTCGACAGGCTCAACCGGGTCTACCTGAGACACACCTGAGGGAGCGGCACCCTGAGGGGGGAGGGGGTCTACCACAGCAGCACCTGGTGCGAGGAAGAGAGGCGGGGGGGGGAGCGGGGCAGTGCAGTAGGGGAAGAGGCGGTAGTAGGGGACCGACTCGTCGAAAGTGACGTCCTGAGAGGGCAGGACACGGCGCGAGGTGGCGTGGTAAAACTGCCAACCAGACGCGTCCGGGACAAAGCCAAGGAAGACACAAGGAACAGCGCGGGAGGAGAGCTTGTCCGCGGACGTATCGCGGACAAAAGCACGAGATCCCCAGACCCGGAACACCGACGCATCGCCAACCTCTCCCGTCCAACGCAGTGTCGGCGAAGTCTCCGGAACGGAGACACGGGGCCAGAGGTTGAGCTGATGCGCAGCGTATCGGACCGCAAACGGCCACAGAAAGTGGGGGGCAGCCGCATGGATCAAGGAGGTACGAGCGACCTCCATGACCAAGCCAATGCGGCGCTCAGCAACCCCATTCTGCTGTGGAGAGGCCGGAAGCGTGAACGACTGCTCAATGCCCTCCCCACGACAAAAGTCCCGCAAGAGGTCGGAGGAAAACTCCCCACCTCTGTCAGAGTGCAGACGCAGAACAGGAAAGTCCGAGTGGAACCTCTCGCTGAGCTGGAGACGGGCAGCGCGGATCCAAGGGATCAAAACATCAGGGACTTCACCCTTGGTGCGCAAGGGGAAGACCGTGGTGTAGCGCGAGTAGTCGTCAACAACTATCAAGAAGTACCTCTCGT